AATATTTATGTCAATTGTACTCCAGTTTAAGTTAAAATTAACTACTTCCTAAAGAAGTACATCTCTCTCTTACTATTATTTGCCAATCTCTCATCTCATCTGAAATATCATGAAGTGAAACTGGTAATTTTGCACCAACTCTATTTGTGTTTTATAGAAAAAGACAATGGCTAAAATGGAAACCATCTAAGCTCATCTCTGTCCTATTAACATAGATAAGTCATCTCTTGAAATGAGAGGTCATTCCCTACCTACTCCAACCTTATTTCAGATACAGTATTAAATAAATATGCTATCTGGTCCTCACCGCACCTTTTACTAACCATGGCATCTACAGTTTTATCAGTCATCTTGGCCTATCAATCGAGAATTTCTCTATAGTCCAAAATTTTATTGGAAAAAAAATTACTCAACCTTTGGTTTGCTATAAATCCATTTTGGAGGTTTGAGGTGAGTGGGGGACAAACGAGAAGGCAGAGAAAAGTCCTCTGTCCTCTATAAATCCTGAGGAATATATCATACCCTGAAGAGGCCAAAAAAAAGAATAAAGGAAATCATTTATTTATCCAGTGATTATTTTCCACACAAACCACAAAGCCCTACAAAATTTTACTTTGAATCAGTATTCCTAAGATTTATGAATACTTTCAAAAATAAATTTCAAATAGCTCCCTATTATAGTTTAAGTAGGGGAGGAGAAGTAGTTCTTTCTTTGCAAAAACAACACACTTTGCAAGGCCAAGGAGTCAAGCTTCCAAGACGTAATAGGGACCATACTCCTTTTACTAAAACAACAACGAGTAAGTATTTCCACTTAATCTTATTGAAAATTTCTGTCACAGGGTCTTTAGTGAGTTTCTGTCTTAAAAGGCTCTGAAATTTAAATTTCTAATCATGTTTCCCAAGATTTTTCTTATCGTAGAACACAAAAAACATTTGCACAACACACCCAGAGTGAAAGAACACAACTGCAAATAGCCAGCAGGTGGCTCCAGTGGCCCCAGGGATAAGAGAAAATCTGTCTCTGAACACCTTGGAAGTCTGCAACTATGCTACAACCTAACTAGAAGTTCGGATTCAACACTGACCAGTCACTTACAGAATTCTCAACCACTTTTTTGAACTAGCATCAAGAAACATTAGAATTAAGGACCTTCTGGGTAAATGTCAAGTTTTAACAAGATGACCAGTAGTAACCTTAAGCATGGTAATCCTAATAAAAATGATTCATAACAGCTCAACAAACAAGTTCTAAGCTATCTAGAGGTAGGTGTACTTTTTCTTTCTTTTTTTTTTGAATTGGCATTTCGCTCTGTTGCCCAGGCTGGAGTACTGCAGCATTATGATACTTCACTGCAGTCTCAACCACCTGGGCTCAGGCAAACCTTCTGCCTCAGCCTTCTGAGTAGCTGGGACTTTAAGTGCATGACAGTAAGCATGGCTAATTTTTTAATTTTTTGTAGAGACCAGGTCTTGCTATGTTGCCCAGGCTGGTCTCCAACTCTTGGGCTCAAACAATCCTCCCACCTCTGCCTCACAAAGTGCTTGAATTACAGGCATGAGCCACCACACCCAGCCATAAGCAAATATATAATCTTCTTTTACTTTCAGTGCCACACAAAGGCTACTTATTCCAAAAAAAGAGAGTAGCTGTTTCAATACCAATGAAGTTCAAAGTCTGGGTTACCTAATAACTACTTAAATTTAAACTTGATTATGACAGCTAATGCTTTCATAAGAATCAATAATATGATATAGTTTTGCATTCTACATTTCACCTCATATTCGCTACTATATATAGCATCCTAAAACTAAACACTCCACTGCACACTGTTATCCTACTGAATGGTAACTGGATCTTGATTAGAATTTAAAACATACTAGTAGGAATAAACATTTAAAACAATTACTTCACCTAGATTTTATTTCATCTAATTTTGCATGGAAATAGTTCTAAAATATAGTAAATCATTCCCAGCCCTAGTAAAAAGATATCTTAAATTCAAACATGAGTTCCTTAATGACAGGGATACATTCTGAGAAATGTGTTGTTAAATGTTTTGTCCCTACATGAATAGAGTGTACTTACACAAACCTAGATGGGATAGCCTATAGCTCCTAGGCTACAAACCTGTACAGCATGTCACTGGACTGAACATACTGTAGGCAACTGGAACACAATGGTAAATATTTGTGTATCTAAACACAGAAAAGGTACAGTAAAAATATGATATAATTCTATGGGACTACCATCAAATGTGTTATTGTAGTTAGGCAGTGCATGACTATATTTTACTACTTAATGTTTCAGAAACAATATTCTAACTCTAAGAGTGTGTTTGTGTGAAATGAAAGGATTACAGTTTTCTCTTTCACCCATTTTCACTGCTTCAGCTGTGCTCTCCTGCCATGTTAGTAGCCCTAACTTTTCCCAAAGTATTAATCTGACACCCATGTCTTATAATTCACAGGGCATATATATGCTAGTAAATGTGATGTGCTGGTAGGACTAAAGCAAGAATGACAAGGGATGGTGGGGCACTGGGGGGCAGGTGGGAAGAAAACAGCTTCCTTCCACACTCCCTCTTTTCTAGAAATTTCTAGAAGAGTTCAGAGAAGAGTCACCTATCTCCTAAAGATGCATAATTCAATCACAATCAACACAATACAAAGACTTGTCCTAACTGGTTTCACTCTACTCTCTTGCTTAACTTCAAGAAACATTTATTTTTTTTATTTTTTATTTTTTGAGTTGGAGTCTCATTCTGCTGCCCAGACTGGAGTGCAGTGGTAGCTCCTGGCCACTGCAGCCTCGACCTGCTGTGCTCCAGTGATCCTTCTGCCTTAGCCTTCCGAGTGGCAGGAATTACAGGCATGCACTGCCACGCTCGTCTGATTTTTTGATTTATCGTAGAGATGTCTCACCAAGTTGCCCAGGCAGGTCTAGAACCCGCAGGCTCAGGCAATCCACTCACCTCAGTCTCCCAAAGTACAGGATAACAGGTTGAGCCACCAAGCCCGACTCAAGAAACATTTAATTGAGATACTGATCACAAGTTAAAAGCAACTTAAAGTTAATTGAATGTAAGAGACTACAAAACATTCCATTCATTTTTTTTTTTTAAAAGACAGGGTCTCACTCTTGCCCAGGCTGGAGTGCAGTAGCGTGATCATAGCTCACTGCAGCCTCAAACTCCTGAGTTCGTGTGATACTCCCACCTCAGCCTCCCAAAGTACTGGGATTACAGGTGTGAGCTACCATGCCTGGCCCCATTCATTTATTTTTTATATTGAGAACAGGAGACATGCAGCTATTAAAACAAACAAAAATACATTGAGTCTATATCAGAGCCAAATAAGAGAACAAAGAGGAGAGAAACAACCAGAGCCCCCCCCAAAAAAAGTGGGGACACACTCTACACATCCAATGAGGTATCATGATCGAAGAGAAAGAAAAATCAAAAGATACAATGTAAGCCGAACTAAACCCAGCTGGCTCACACCTGTAATCCTACTACTTTGGGAAGCCAAGGTAGAAGTACTGCTTGAGCTCTGGATTTTCAGACCAGCCTAGGCAGCATAGTGAGACCTTGTCTTTTAAAAATAAATAAATAAATAAAAATTAAAAAATAAAGATACAACGTAAGCTCCATGCAGGTAGATATTTTCACCTATTTTGTTCATGGGTACATACATTCCCAGAACCCAGATCTGTGTTGGCATACAGCACTCAAATTTTCTGAATATGTAATCAAACATAATACAGATCAATATTCTAGGAAAGCACTTCTTAAAGTGAAGTCAGTGGACTCCCAGAGGTCCCTGAAGCCCTTTAGGAAGTCCACAAGGCCAAAACTATTGCCATAATAATATTTAAGAAGTTATCTGCTTTTTTCACAGTATGGACTTCTATAACATTGTGCCTTAGCACAATATTCTTTGCCACCACACACAGTTTTTTTTAAAAAAAGGTGTTTCACTTCAATTCTAGTATGTGTCATTAGCCAAAATATTTTGAGGACCCTCCCACTTCTGCTTTAAGAAAGCATTTAGCATTGAGATTTAAGGGGGACTAGTCACTGTTTAGCCCACTTGGCTCAAGCAGTCAGTCCTTTTTTTTTTCTTGAGTAGGAGTCTCACTCTACTGTCTAGGCCAGAGTACAGTGGCACACTCACGGTCACTGCAGCCCTAACCTGCTGGGCTTAGGTGATCCTTCTACCTCAGCCTTCCAAATAGCTGAAACTACAGGAGCGTGCCACCACACCTGACTAATTTTTTGATTGCCTGCAGAGATGAGGTCTTACCAAGTTGCCTAGGCTGGTCTCGAACCCCTGGACTCAGGCAATCTTCTCACCTCCACCTCCCAAAGTGCTAGGATTTATAGGCATGAGCCACTGCGTTGGGCTTGGCAGTCAGTCCTTCTTGTATACTCTCATAGCCCCCTCCACTTTCCATTCATAGCACTCATCGCATAGTAATTTACGTGGTTGACAGGTTGTTTCCTCACTAAACTTAGTAAGCTCTGTGAGGGATGCACCATGTCTATTTTGGCTCATTATTTTATCTTTAATACCTAGAATACTGCCTGGAATATAGTAAATACGCAAGCATTTGTTCAGTAAAAGGAAAAAAGATAATCAGTTCTCTCACCTTTTTCTTTGGAAACAGTAGTTCATGATAATTTTTTTTGTAAAAGTAGTCTTCCAATAAGATGCACTGTAAAAGGAAACAGTACGTGACCCTAATTTTCTCCACTTCCACTGTAAAGTTAGAGACGAGTTCTGAATCCACAATGACTTTTTCATAGAGTGAGTCCCTAACTCAGGTGAAGCTGATTCTACTTCATCAATGACAAATAAGAAAGCTTGACTAACTTTCTAACAGGTCACCAAACAGACCATTAAGTACAGAAGGCTCCTTCCTCTGAGGAGCAGTTCCTGGCTGAGACTTACTAATGACAAGATCTGCTTCACTAATGGGAATCATTCCTTCCTTCCAGGCTGGATATATGATTATACCCAGACATACAACGGCTCTTTCTACTTCTCTGGCATTTGCTATCTCCTCTCTTCTGTTTCCTACTTTTTTGTACCATTGGCTGAGAGATGGAAAAACAGTCTAGCCAGAAGGAAAGAGGACTGCAATCAAGGGAGAGCTTAACCAAAGAAAATCTCAACTAATAAATAAGTCACTGGAAACATAAGTTTGGAAATAGTCTTTTGTAAAATGAGAAGATAAACCAGATAAGTTCTTCATGTTCCCTCTTGGTTTAGCATTCTGAGGAATGTCTAATTGATAGTAAGACAAGTTTAACAGCAACTTAAATTGTTTGTAAGTATTTGATCAAATAGGCTAAAATTTTAATCAGTTGAAGAAACTACCTCATGTATTAAGTGAAAAACCAAGGCTGAGCGCAGAAGCTCACGCCTATAATCCAGCACTTTGGGTGGCCAAGGTGGAAGGACTGCTTGAGGTCAGAAATTCACGACTAGCCTGGGCAACATAGCAAGATGCTCTTATTTAAAAAAAAAAAAAAAAGGAGAAAAAAAATCAGAGTATACTATAGTAAATTAATCCAAACACTCAATTTTGCCATGGTAATTCAGTCACTAAAATATGTGAAGATGAAAAATCATTTTTCTTCAAGAGTATTAAATATGATTAAAATTGATTGACTACAACTCTGGAATCTGAATAGTAAAACCTAGCGTAGGGAATGGAATTGTACACATCTCACAAAAAAGTTTATCTTTACTTATTGATTAGATAAAGTTTTCTTTGTGTATTACTTTGTTTCTTAAATTTTGGTGATAAACATGTATTGCTATATAGTAAAAAGTAAATAAAAATTGTTAAAAAACCTCCTTTATTTCAAGATCATTTGAAAAGCATTTCTGCCAGTCAAAACATTACTTTTTCACTATATCCAATTACCTAAAACATTCATGCTAAATATCTAGATGTCTCTTTAGAACTACAGGATTTATAGGAAAGTTGAATAGGTGGTTTTAATAGGAAATACATTTCAAAGATGTTTTTTATATAGGGAATAACTATGTAAACTAATTAACAGCGTCACTTAAACTAAGCAATTACATGTGACTAGAAAAGTCTTCACTATTTGGGTGATCTTTAAGAGAAAAAAACCAGCCAGAGTTCTCTATAGCACCAACCTCCCTTTGAATCTTCTTCAGCATGTTCTTTAAACTAGTACTATCATCATCATCATCCTCATCATCTTCCCACCCTTCCATTCCTGTTTTAAAATGCCTATTGATTCCGTGTAACAAAAAATTCGAAACTGAAAGCCTAATTTTAGCTCCACACCCTGCCACATTCTGTCACTGCCTTTGAATGCCTTTGTGCGAGCTCTTTCACCTGCTACAATCCCACCAGGCATGACCTCACTTATTATTCACAATTTGACTCACTCAAAGGCTACCCCCTCTGGAAAACCTTCCCAGTACTGCCACTCTTACAACTGGTATTCCATCTAATTTTTACAAGTACTACATCACAAGTCAATCTTTTCCATTAGTCTGCAAGATCAACAAGATGGATGATTTTTACTTATCTTTGTACTACTTAAGACCTAGCATAAGCTTTGGAACCAAGCTAATCTGGGTTCAAATCACAGTTATTTTATTATAAAAACAATAACTGATCCTATTTAAAATGTCCTTTTTATCACTTTCTGACCAAAAAGAAAAAAAAAAGACATATTCATTTACTAGAATATTGTCATTTACATGGACAATATTATAAGATGTCATATAATACATTCTAGGAATCCATAATGTAGGAATATACTAGATATATATGGAATTTCAAGAAATGCACAATAGCTATGAGTTTCTTTTTCCTTCTCCCTCAAGAGAGTGCCATGAGACAAAGAGGAAACAAATATTAGACTTAACATATATGAATGTTCTTGGAGTGGTGAACTTCAACTTCATTTCAACATCTTAGTAATATACCAGTCACTGAGGTAGGCTAACTTTATATATTATCTTATTTAATCTTCACAATAACTTATGGAAGCAGATATAGATACTATATTATGACGCTCACTTTACAAATGAATAAACTGAAGGCCAGAGAAATTCAATACTCAGTTAGTGGAGTCATAATTCAAACACAATCTGACACAAAACCCAAAACCCTAGACTACCCTAGACTTTCCCTTCTGTATAACCCTGGCTTCTTGGTTAACAAATTAACAATATATTAACAAATTATGAAGGTAATTTAATTGAAAGCAGTTATCTTTTTTTTTTTAAAGCAGGATTTATTGAGAGGACAGAAAAGTTCTCACAGTGGGAGGGGACCCAAAGGGGTTGCCCAAAAGCAGTTATCTTATAATAAAACTGTTCAAACTCACATTGGCCAAAAAAATTTAATTTCTAGATTTAAATTAAAAGGAGAAGGCCAGGCGCAGAGGCTCATGCCTGTAATCCCAGCACTTTGGCAGGCCAAGGTGGCAGGATTGCTTAAGTCCAGGAGTTTGAGACCATCCTAGATAACAGAGTGAGACCTCATCTCTACAAATAAATTAAAAATAGCTGAGCATGGTGGTGCACGTTTGTAGTCCCAACTACATGGGAGGCTGAGGCAGAAGGATTGCCTGAGCCCAGAAAGTAGAGGCTTCCAGCCTAAGCAACAGAGTGAACTCTCAAAAAAAAAAATGCAAAGTACCAAGAACAACCTACCACCCTCCACTTCCTTCTACTCACCCCCACTAAAATTAAAACTACAAAACACATCTGCTACAATACAATAATAATGTAGTTGCTAGGATAATTAACTTTTTTTTTTCTCTCTTCTGAGTTGGAGTCACTCAGTCGCCCAGGCTGGAGCGTGGTAGCACGGCTTTGACCTGCTGGGCTAGGCGGTCCTTCCACCTCAGTCTTCCAAGTAGTTGAAACCACAGGCGCGTACCACCATGCCTGGCTAATTTTTTGATTTATTGTAGAAACAAGATCTCATCAATTTGCCCAGGCTGGTCTTGAACCCCCAAACTCAGGCAGTCCTCTTGCCTCGGTCTCCCAAAGTACTGGGATTACAGGCTTGAGCCACCGAGCCCGGCGATAATTAACTTTCTTAGTTCTTCCAATACAAACTGAATCTGCAAGAAGATAATGGTACATACGGGCCACTTACAATTCCTTAATATGTCATTAGTTAAAATGTTTATACATTGTAAGTCTTAAAATATAAATAAATAAATATATATAAAAATGATGTCTGGTAGAGCATGTAATTTGAACACATAAGTTGAGTATACCTTCTTCTTAGCTACTTCTTTGATTATGTTTAAAACTTAAGATACTGGCTGGGCTTGGTGGCTCAGCCTGTAATCCCAGCAGTTTGGGAGGCTAAGGCAAGTGGATTGATTGCCTGAGCCTGAGGGTTCGAGACCAGCCTGGGTAACTTGGTGAGACCTTGTCTCTACATTAAATCAATAAAAATTAGCTGGGCATGGTGGCGTCTACCTGTAGTTCCGGTTACTTGGAAGGCTGAGGCAGCAAGATCACCAGAGCCCAAGTCGACGCTGGAGTGGCTGTGAGTGTGCCACTGTACTCCAGCCTGGGCAACAGAGTGGGATTTCAACTCAAACCCCCCCCCCAAAACATAAGCTATTATTTCTTGCTGTTCTTAGTCACACCATCTTTATAAAAGAAGGAATTTTTCATACAAGTTGATAATGAAAGACTACTGTACCTGTGATACTAAAACACTACCTGATGATATTTTTAGAGCTTTTTCCCATCAGTTAACTCACTTATCACATCAACTCTGTGAGGAAGTATGGATAAGTACTATTATTCCTATTTTATACATAAGGAACAAACCAAGTTAATACCAAGTTATTTGCCTAAGGTTACTAAGTTAGTCCTTAACAAAACCGATTCTAAAACCTAATTACTGATGCTGATTAGCTCATGGTCTCTGGCTTATCTTCTCTAGAAGTTTAAATTTACTAAAATCAACAATTATACTTAAAAGGACAAAAGTGATAATTTTGTGATTTTTTTCAAATAATCTAGGCATGTTAATGTATGATGCTATGTTTGTTTGCAAAACATTAGCTCCTTAGTAAATAAACTTTCCTAACTATAAAATCGGGCTTTTCTATATGAAAAAAAACCCCTATGTATTATAATTGTTTTTAAGAGACATAATGTACAATCTGAATAGTGTTTTCTCAGAGACCTCATATAAAACCCAAACCCAATACTTTTTAAAGCCTGGAGTGTTTATCCTAAGCCAGAGCCATCTTGTACAAGCCTTTATGTCTATATATTTGCTCATATAGGTACTCACTACACTTGCCACAAGTAACTACTCAGTTATCTCACATTTATCACCTAGGGTCTTAACATACACATAAAAAAAAGATAACTAAAGTGCTTGGAACCAACTTTTAAAATCCATTAAAAATTCTTCATGTTTTATTTATTTTTTGAGTCACAGTCTCATTGTCACCCAGGCTGGATTGCAGTGGCACACTCACAGCCACTGCAGCCTTGACCTGGTGGGCTCAGGTGATGATCCTTCTACCTCAGCCTTCCAAGTAGCTGGAACTATAGGTGTGTGCCACCACACCTGGCTAATTTTTTTTTATTTATTACAGAGATGAAATCTCGTCAAGCTGCCCAGGCTGGTTTTGAACCTTGGGCTCAGGCAATCCTCTCTCCTTAGCCTCCCAAAGTGTTGGGATTACAGGTGTGAGCCACCATGCCCAGGCAAAATTATTCATGTTTTATTTCTATGAGAGTTTAAACTGGCATTACCTAGAATCACTGGGACAAACAAGTGATTTCTAAAAACAGCATCCCTAGTACATTCCAAAAGAAGCTAGTATATGTGAATTATCCTTCTATCCAAGGTGATCATCAATAACAACATACTGAGGCCTTTTTAGGGATGCACAGAATGAACTAAGATTAGGGTGACCAACTGTCTGGGGTTGGCTAGAAATGAAGGAACCACTGAGACATGAGACTTTCAGTTTTAAAACCAGGCTGTGTTAGACACTTTTTATACTTTTTAAGAAGTATAGAACATGTGTGAATACTTGATAGCATGCAGATAAAGCTAGTTTTTTTCTAGTAGTCTTCCAAAAAAAAAATCACAAATTTATTTTTTTATCTCATGTAAGCTTCAGTGAGCAAAACAGAAACTATTAAAGGAGGCATACAACATTTTAAATGAGAATACACTTCCAGGCATT